AAAAAAAAAAAAAAAAAAAAAAAGACGTACAATTATTGAAGATGCTTCTTTTAAGGCTATGGAATAGTCCACCCAAGACACCAGAAATTCGCTTTGTGACTAGGAAAGTTGAATTGAAAATAATTGAGAAAATTCTCGACCAATTTTAAGGGAAAGAAGGAAAAAAAAAACATACCAAATAAGTCAATGCTTAAATCACATAAGGATCGGCTATTTTTAAACAATTTCCCACTTGAATTTGATGTTTAGAAATGGTGTAAAATTGATATCAGATTAATAAAAGAGAATAGGTTGGAGTTAGAACTGACCTCTCATGGACAACTATGTAGTTAGAATATCCTCCCTTTGTAATTGTACCGTCAAAATCAATTCCATTAAAAGTATTAGTGGATCCACCCGTGCAACAAACTTCTTGACCATCTTCACAATACTCGCATTGTCTGCAAGAATTCACGTAAGTTCCTACCCCAACATGATCTCCAACTTTAAATCGGTGAACATTTGCGCCAACAGTTTTCACAATTCCTGCAATCTCATGTCTGTTGTACAATTAATGACAAACACTACAAAAGTTTCAAAAAAGATGAGAACTTGTCATATCAAAAGAAAGATTAACGTACCCAGGCACCAAAGGATATTTTGAATCTCCTAATTTATTTCTTGTCCATAATACGTCTGCATAACAAATTCCGCAATGTGTTATTGTAATTGAAACATCATCATCTCCAGGAACCCTGACAATGTTAAGAGTAGGGTTAAGTCTTAATCAGTATATTTCTGAAATATCAATAAGAAGAAATTTTCATCAGGTTTTTTAAAGTGAATGAAATCACGTAGGTCAACGTCAGAAGTTGGCACATGGAGGGTGTCCAGAATTTTTAGATCAGCATCATGGCTGCAAGTGATTCAAATAAATGAAAAAATGCTGAATAAATTACACTGCATAATGATGATCAACTAGAATCCTGGATTTTCAATCCATCACTGGATCGTACCCTAAAGGAGTCCTAGTACCTTAAACAGTAGTTACGCGCAAAATAACTATACTTCAAAAATCAAACAAAACCAGTTTGCAGGATACAAAAAATTAAATGCGTAATCCTCTTGAAAAGCAGGACTTGGTTTACTCAAGAGGTTAATCAGTAAGTCATTGATGCTAGATTGAATACTTAAATCTCAGAGCATTTATGATTCATAAACAGTTCATTTGCATTTCACTTCTCAGTATTTATTTTTAATATGGTATCAGAACACTACTAGAAATGCTTGGTCGTGGCAACCAGTAAAGCTCAGCCAGAGGGAACACTTTATCCTCTTCATCAGTGACCGATTCCAGTGAGCACCATTGACCATTTCAGTCCTTACTTCCTATATCATATGATGAACCTTCTAGTGCACATTTCTCAGTGAACAAATTTACACCTCTTGAGCAGGTCAATGGAAACAGAATTCCAGTAATGAACAAAGTTGGCTTCATAGATGGACAATCATGTGACTTGAGAGGTACATTACGCAATAAAATAATAATATGGTCATAGAATCATTTCTTGGATGTTAACAGCAGTCTTCATCTTAGAATCATTTCTTGGATGTTAACAGCAGTCTTCATCTATTATCTACTCTAGATAAATGCATGACATTTAGCTTGATTTGAATCCAACATGACATCGTCCTCACATCTTCCAACTCCTAAGGATAAAATCGTCTCGTGAAAATCTCCATGTAGGGGGAAAAGAGAAATAAAGAGGAGGTTATGTCGCCACTGGGAGCCTACTTCATGAAGCTGGAAACTCTAACAGGAACTGATCAAGTATAAATTGTCCAGTTTGTAGCTAAGATAAATGCCTTAACTGAAAACTCTGTAACTCCATAGACGAACAAGAGAAACAATGAAATGACGAACAACTTAATTAGCATCCATAATCTGAAGCAACTGTATTTAGTTTAGTTAAGAACAATCATGAACAACAAAAACTAATTCGCATTTTATTTCCCGGTGCAAGATCTCAGAAAAACAGAACAAAACGTAGAACACGATCAGTAGTAACTCAACTAGGTATACCAAAAGGAATTTGAGTGTCCTCGTTGCAATAAAGGATTAAGAGATCACATACCTACGACTGAATTTATAAGGAGACAGAAATCCAGACGGATCTCTTGCGGCCCAACCGAGACAATCTTCAGAGGAAGTATGGGAACTCATCGCTCTCAAGAAACGATTAAATGAAGCAGAAGGAAGAATTTGACTTTCATAACAACGCAATCACTTGAGAAATGAATCGATGGAGCGTGGAGCTCAACACCCCGTGAACTGGATTTGTGGAATCCTTTCTGAATACGTTAGTATTCTTTTTAGTATGCTTATCTTTTCTATGAAAAGAATATTGTTTGAAATTATTTTATCAATTTCCAAATCTTAAAAAAAAAATTAAAAATTTATATTCTTTGAATTCATTTTTCTAAAATCCCAAACCGTTTTCAATTCTTTGCTGATAAATTTAATTTTGAAGCTAAGAATTTTTCAATATATTAAATTATTTAGAAAAATTGTTGATTTTTCTTTTAAAGATAAACGTTATGATTTTGAATTTGATATTTATGAATTTCCATAAACTCTTTAACCAAAATTGGAATATTGTTTTTGTATTAAATGGGTATAATAAAAATGAGAAAAAAACATATGTTGTTGAGATAAATTTGATTTTAAATTTTGTCATATTTTAAAAATTCAAGATTTTTATTTGACTTAATTTTTTATCAACCACGATTCAAATGCATGTTTGTCAGTCAATGCATGGAAACCAAGTCAACGTGAAATGTTCAAAAGAAACCTTGCATAACACCCAAAAGAGTTGAAATTTGGGGGAAAACAGTGAATGGCAGAAACTCATAAATTCATCGTCATAAGTCGTGAGCCTGCCATCAGTACTAACAAGTCCGAGGGTAGTCCATCGACTGCATCGTAAACTCATGGACGTTGGCAAAAGTTTATTTCGATGCCTTTCTCCTCCTTATTTGTGCCTTCTGTTTCTTTCGTCTCTGGACTACTGGTTCTGAAGCACTCTTCAACTCTTCTGCTCGAGGATCATCGGGCGTGGCGAGCAGAAATTTCTTGTTCGAACCAACTTGGTTGCAGAAAAGCTGCAGCATCTTCCTTCCCCTCATCCATTTCAGCAACAGCTTCATGTGTGTTTTGCTGTTCAATCCACCCACGCCAGATTCCTGATATGAAAAGCAGTATTAGATAGAAGGGCCATAAAATTCAATTCAATTCACTGCTTTTCACGAGGGCTGATGAACGGTGCACAATTTCTATATGTAATAAATATTCCTACGGCCTTCCCATGTCACAGACATGATGGATTAAGTCATCATTGGCTTCTATAAGATATATTCCAATGATCCAATTTCAAAAGTAAGAATCCTATTGGAACTTTTTATACACAACAACTATGTTCTTTGTTCAACGTTGGGGCATGTTTAAGTTATTTTTTTAATTATCCCTTTTGTACTTTTTTCACTCTCGTGTGAAATTTGTATCTCTCGTTGGCACACCAACCGCTGTCTGACTCTAATGCTGGGCCTCTAAGAGTGTGGAAACCTCTCCCTAGTGGACATGTTTTAAAACTGTGAGGCTGACGGCGATACGTAATGGGCCAAAGCGGACAATATCTATTAGCAGTGGGTTTGGACTATTACAAAAGGTTTCAGAGCCAGACACCGAACAATTGCCAACGAGGACGCTGGGCCTCGAATGAGGGTGGATTGTGAGATCCCACATCCATTGGGGAGAGGAACGAAGCATTCTTTGTAAGGGTGTGGAAACCTCTCCCTAACAGACGCGTTTTAGAACCGTGAGGCTGACGGCGATACATAACGGGACAAAGCGGACAATATCTACTACCGGTGGTCTTAAGCTGTTACACTTCTATTGTTGATATTAGTTGTTGGTTTGTCTTTGAATATATCCAATTTTACTGGCGGCACTTACAGTTACAATTGGGACACGACTTTCAGAGTAATTAAGAAAGCCATGACCTTGTTTCTTGAAAGCCATGACCTTGTTTCTTGATTGTTCAGTTAAAGGAGATACTGTTCCATGTCATGCCTGACAAAAGAAGGGAAGTGTCATACACTGCCTCACCTCCGTTTCACTCGTCCACTTATCCTCTTGAAATAGAGTGTACTGATATTTGGCGGCCAGCGCTTATCTCATATCTCCTTCTGAGGAAGCTATTAAGTCTTTCATTCATTTCCTTGATGACTTAGCTACATTTACCTACATCTTTCCCCACACAGTCAAGTCTGAAGTTTCCACTTACTGCAATACTACCTTATCTCCCTCTTTCTCATACACCACTTATCCTCTCGAAATAGTGCATATTGATATCTGAGGACCTACACACATCCCTTTCAAAGAAGGCTATAATTTTTTAATTCGTTTGCTTTGTGACTTTGGTAATTTACCTGGGCCTATCCTGTCAGAGTCAAGTCTAAAGCTTTCGCCATATTCAAGAAGTTCAAAGCTCCAGTAAAGATCCTTTTGGTACGTTATTGAAATGTCTTCAATTTGATTGAAGGGAATATTTCCACTCTTTCAAAGGTTTCGATAGGCCACTACTATGCATACATAGCACAGAAAGAAACTGAACGAAAACTAGCAAGTTGGATGCATGATGTACTTGATGGTGTTCTTGAACTAATTAACTTGGCAGAAAAGAGTCCATATATGATGTCCTTTTGGGATACCTGATGCAAGAAGGAAAATACCCTTCTAGGTGTTAACCACAAGTAGTGCTAGATTAGTGTGGTTCTAGGAAATGCTTACTAATGAAAGAAAATGAAGACAAGACTAGATCTAGATGTCGTGGAAGGGAATATCATAAGAGTATAGAGTACCATTGAGATGAAACTTGTTCATATCAAGGAGGAGTTTAACATGGTGACAAAGATGATTACGAAACTAAAGGGAATTTGGAAATAGGAAGTATCTATCCTAGAAGAGAAGACCAAGGAGGCTTATGGAAAAGTGCCAATGGAAGAATACATTACAGAGAGTAAAGGAAGGTGGTGTGAGCAGAGGGGTGTCAATAGGACAACAAGCACACTTGGGACAGTACCAGTGACACATGCTGAAGGTACCTATTTTTTATGGAGCCAATCCAAGATGGTTGGTCCCGCTGGGCTACTCATTCTAACCCACTTCAATCGCCACTGCTCCTCCTGAGCATCTCTAGGAAACAGCAACAAACGGGTGTTCAATATAAAACTACATGCGGTAGTAAGTGTTCAAGGGAACAAAGCTTGTTTGTTGCAGAAGAGTTTCGTCAAAAATACTCAAAAACTTCTCATTTGCCTAACTAATAATTAGTATTGCTTTGAAAAATGGTCGCTAATTTGGGTAGCTAGATATTAGTAATTCGTTTCTTAATGGCGTTTTGAATGAAGTAATCTATATGCTCCAGCCGAATGACTTGGTAAGCATTCTTCAATAAGTGAATGAACATTCATCTAAAAGACAGGTCACTTCAACTCAAAAGCGTATCCCCATTCAGATTGAGACGCAATATCAGACTTAAACTAATGTGGCTGCAGAGCTAACCTAGATCAAGCAACTTTGAGCGGTCCATAAGCTGCAGTTTCGATAACCATCATCCAACTTCGAAATGAAAGAAAATAAGCGATGAAATGTAACAGAGGGTGAAGAAAACCTACCTGGGCTTTAATCCAAGCATTGGAAACTGTGAGCGGTCCATGCTGCTTGACGACACCATAGAGATCTTGAGCAACCAAAGAAGCCTCCTGAGGGGTCAACTTGGGATTGATTTTCCTAAGATTCTCTGCTCGCGACCTCGAGAAATACCTCGTGAATGTGCTGAAAACAAGGCCAGCAGAACCTCCACCTCCATCTGCATTTCTAATTGTTTGAATACCGCGAAGCCACCACATATCTGATGCTAGTCTACCGCGCTACTTCGTGGTACAAAATTCTCCCACTATTCGTCTATGGCTACAACTGCGCGCTGTTGCACTGGTACCCCGCTGCCGCCAAGGCACTGAGATTCGAAGAGAGTCGACGACGAACGAACAGAATTAGACACGCAGGGTTTTTCTTCACTTGTGAATTATGATGGAGATCGGTTCATGCCGCTCCAACCGAACCGATCCGGTTCGTTTGGATTGAGTGATTGTGATGTGAAGTGAAACGTATGGTCTCTTGGGCTTAATTCCTTCCGATAAAGCTGTTGGGCTGAGCCCATGGTCTCTTAGGATGAATCTGTGCAATTTTTTGTTAATTTAACGAGTATTTTTTACACCTAATTTTAACTAAAAAAAAATATGACTAAAAAATAAAAATATATACATTAAAAACTCGATCGAGAATCCTCATCCCGATTTCTATAAAATTAAATAGGATAATTTCGTAAGAATTGAGAAATGAAATGGGTGAAGGAATGGAGATAGGAACGACTTTTCTATCACGTGCCCATCTCTAAATTCAACTCACCAACCAAACAGACGTAGCACACTACTCGAATCTAGAGTTTTATTTCAAAACGTTTCTTAATTCGACCCATTAAAGTAGTTGATAATTCAAACTTTTGTCTGTATGATAAAATAAATTCTAAACTCCAAAAAGTGAAAATAAAACAAATTATTACGTGGCACTGATTTTGTAAGCCAATTAAAAGGCAGGAAATGATGGAAAGAGAAAAGGGTGACGAAAATTATGGCGGCCGGGAAGCTGCATGCAGATGCCGATGCCGACCGATCAATGATGGTGGGGCTAATGGTGTGGGGACACTAGAAGAGTCTACGTCTTTCTACAATCTTTGACACTCAATTCAATACCTCCAAAATAAGTGCCCATCGGTTTCTTTCATTTCTTTAATATCATCACCTCTCATTTTTCTCATTTGGACTGTGTCACACGAGAGAGGTTTTCACACTTATAAATACTGTTCCTTTATCTAATCTATATGGGATATCAGACAAACAGTTGCTACTTATGAAAGAAATACTTTCGCATGTTCATAATATGTAATTATAAGACTTGTTATGTATACGTATTTGATCAAATCTGTCATTGATTTTACTAATAGGCTTGTTTAGACCATTGAAAATTACGCCTTATAACAAAATAATAAAAACGATTAAATATAAATTTATGAGAATATACATATTTGTATTTAAGAATCACGAGTCTCCACAATGGTATGATATTATCCACTTTGACCATAAATTCTAGTAGATTTGCTTTGGGCTCCAAAGAGGTCTCATACCAATGGGATAAATTTTCTCACTTATAAACCCAAAATCTTCCACTAAATTAACTAAGATCCACTCCCACTTATCCTAAATCCAAATAATGTTTTTTAAAAAATAGAATAATGTAAAGTTTGGTATAAGATAAAGAAGAAAAATGCCTCAAAATTAATATGCCACGTAGGAAAAAAAGAGAGCAGTTAAATGAGGAAATCTTAGCCACATATTTTTTATATAGTCTCTTTCTTTCATCTTCTGCAACTCACTAAATAAACTTCCTTTCAGAACTGAAGAGAGAGAGAGAGAATGCGGCCAACTCCTTTAGACGCCGACGACACTGTGGCCCTCCAGCCACCGCAATCGCCGCCGTGCCACGATCACCATCCCTGTACATGGCGGCCGTACTCCAGTTCCAAAGACTTCGAAGCCAACGCCGCCGTCGTCGTCATCCTCCTTCTCTGTGGACTCATCTGTGCTCTCGCTCTCAACACCGCCATCCGCTGCTTCCTCCGTCGCAGCGCCAATCATGATCCGTCTGATAGTCAACAGGAGGAGGAACTTCAGGATGGAACGGCGAAGCCGACGTTGGTGGACAAGTTGAAAATGGCTCCGGCGTTGGTATTCACGGCGGAGATGAAGTCAAAGCTCGCCGGTGCGGAGGCGGAGTGTACGATTTGCTTGACGGAATTCTCGGAAGGGGAAGAAATTCGAGTATTGACGAATTGCAAGCACGGATTTCATGTTCAGTGTATTCAAAAGTGGTTGATTTTGCATTCTTCTTGTCCGACTTGCCGCCGTAGCTACCTCCCTCCCTCGCCGTCATCCTCCGAGCGCGGCGGCCGCCATGGTGGCCCTTGAGCTTAGATTAGTACTCTGGCGTAGCTGTTTGATAGTAGTTCGAATTGAGCTTTTTTTTTTTTTTTTTGCTCTGGAATTTTTCTGATAAATTTTCGAATTTACCAAATTCCAGCGACACAATACTGGTACCAGAAATAATATTAAATTGTTAATTTAATCTCCAGATTATTTTGTTAATTACAAATAAATAATAAAATGGTAAAATCATATTTACTATTTGAAAAAATGACTGAATTTTAAAAGAAAAACTATTATAGTAAAAATAAATTAAAAGAATTTATTATTTAAAAAAAAGTATTAAATTACTATTAAAAAAAAAGAAAAACTTTTAGAAAGTAGCAGAATCTTTGGAAATTGAGGCGCAGACATGCAGAACAGACAAAAATGGAAAGGGACTCAATCATCCAGATGATTATTTTGTTAATTTTGTTAAATGAAATGGTAAAAAAAATAAAATTATTTATTGTTAATTGGGTAATTTGGAGTGTGGATGAGGCGCCACGTAAGCTCTGACAAGGTGGCTAACGTGTGACGTTTTGATGCTGTGTTTCAGCTCAACAGTGTGGTGTGTGCTTTCGGGAGTGGGACATAAACGTTGCGTCCACAGATTTATTTCTTTCTTTTAGAAACAAAAATTCAATTTTGTTTAAAATGGCAAAAGGATAAAATAAAATCATTCTGTAACTGTCTCCTTTTTTGTGTGCCCAAATTTTGGACTTTTCCTCAAAGGTAAATGCGTTTTTACTTCTCCCCCAAACGGGGTAGAATTCGTTTTTACCTCCCTCTTATTTATCCCTTCGATTTTTTATTTAAATTAATTTATTTATGAATACTTTAAAATTTTAATTGATAGAGTGGTATGCAATACACTCTAATATTAATATTTCACTATATATTTCTTAATTTGTGATTTCCCACCAAAACGGGTGTGGAAACCTTCTCCTGACATACGCGTTTTAAAATCTTGAGGATAATATCTGCTGGTTGTAAACATGGGGCGTTACAAATGGTATCAGAGTCAGACACCGGACGATGTGTTAGCCTTCTTGTTGTTCCTCGAAGGGGGTAGACATGAGGCGGTGTTAGCCTTCTCGCTGTTCTTCGAAGGGGGTAGACATGAGGCGGTGTGCTAGTAAGGACGTTGTGCCCCAGAGGAGGTGGATTTTGGCAGTGTCCCACATTGATTGGGGAAAGGAACAAGTGCCAACAAGGACGTTGGACATCAAATGGGAGGGTGGATTTGGTGGAGTCCCAATCGATTAAAAAAAGGAACGCGATTTTAAATTTTATAAGTAAACAAAAAAGTATGTATTAAAATGTTTGAAAATATTTATTAACTTTTAGAAATTACAACTTTCCACCGGTATGATATTATCCACACAAAAAAAATGTATTAAAATGTTTATTAACCTTTAGAAATTACGACTTTCCACAATAATAGGATATTGTTCATTTTAAGTATAGATTTGTTTTAGGCTTCCCAAAAAAAGTCTAGTACAAATAAAGATACTATTCCTCTATGATCTTCCACTAAATTAACCAATGTAGGACTCACTCCCAATAATCTTCAACATAAATTTGATGTAAAATAAGTTTAACGACTGGTATAATATAAAATAAAATATACAAAAACTTTGAATATTAAACGTAAATGACATATAACCTCTTTAACACTGTCTATTTATATTTATACAATAGATAATTATTTAATTGCAGTTTTAGTTTATTAAACTTTGTTGTTTATATTTATTTGGTTTATGAATTTTATAAAATATTCAATAAACTCTTAAACGTTGAATTTTGTCTAGAGTAAATTTAAATTTTTAAAAAGTACATTTTCGTGTATAATATATTTATTAAAAAATAAATAAATGGTCTTTAGATATAAAATTAAATTGTAGGTATATTAATATCCAAAACTTTTAAGCTTATGTTAGGGTAGAAATGTTGAATGGGTCAACATAAATTAAAAAGTTTTATGTATATGATAGATATAAAATTAAAATTTCAATCATCTACTAAGTAATTGTAAAATTTATATATAAATTTAAAAATTTATGGATTTATAAAATTAGGAAATTTATATTTGAGAAAACACACTCCAAATATGAGTGTGAATAGCAGTAACATTTTTATTTATTTATTTATTTATTTATTTTTAATTTAAAGAACTATTTTAATTTTTTAATATCTATATTGACACTAATTTCATCCGGACTAACTCGCCGGAATTGAAGAGTTGCAGCCCAATCGTCGAGGATGGCGGCGCCGTCATCGTCCTCAGCATCTTCAGTGAGATCGTGGAGGACGGCGTTTCTTACTCTGAGAGATGAATCGATCTCTTCTTCAACTTCAATTTCCCAACTTCTTTACGACACCATATTCTCCCACTCCGACTGCTTAATCGCCGCCGCGCACTACCTTCCTCCACCCGAAGTATGATTTCTCCCCCTTTTCTATGCATATTAATCGAGGTTCTTAAAAAATGCATGGTTATCGTTTTTTTGTGTGTGTGCATAGGTTTCATCAGATCTGCTGTTTCTCTTAGAAGTGGCTACTCCTGCTTCCGACTCCGTGCACGACGTTGCCCTTCTCTTCTCGGACATCATACATCTGGTGCAATTCACATTTTCGATTTCTATTTTTTATTTTACATTCTTTCGGACCTATTTCCTCAGGGTAGAGCCTGAATGATGAAATTGGGAAGTTTGTTCTGTTAGTCAATTTTCGTGCTTCTGTGAAGAATGTCCCCAACAATTTGACAATTATCTTTTTATCGACCAGTACTTTTGAGAATGCAAATATTATTTGGTTATGGGATTTGAAATCTTCAGTTAATCGGTGAATGTTTTGAGTAATAGATAGTCTATACTGGACACGATGCAAGTTGATCGTCAAATACCAAAATACTATATAATCTATATATATATTTTGATAAGAGACAATTTTCATTGACATTTGCAATTTGCCAAAGGGACATGTTATTCATGTTACTTACAAAAGACCTTACCAATTTACAGCGAGAGAAGTATGACTATAGGAAGCAGAAGTATTAGACAATTTACACCAAGAAATGCGTGGTAAACAACATTTGCAAAGAGTTTAGTAGTCGTGTCTTTTTCGTGAACACTCTCCGATTTTTTTTTTTTTTTTTTTCATAGTTTCCAAAAGAAGACCACAATGAGGTTTGTCTATAGTATAGTTTTTGCATTTTTGTGAGGGTGATATGTTAAGACCATGTCCAATATACCTCCCAAGGAAAGTGAGATGCCATATGAAGATATTGAGAATCTTTGCCCAGAATTTATAAGTATATGTGCATTGCATAAACAAGTGGTTTTGTGATTCATTATCTTTCCTCCATAATGGGCATCAATTTGGAAATAGAGTCATGTAGACTTTTTTTTTTAGGTCTTCACTTGTGCTAATGGCTTTATGTACCATCTTCCATAGGAAAAACTTCACATTTTTCAGGGTGATTTCTTTTCCATATTGTCTTTGCTAGTGTGAGGTTTATTGCTTCTACCTTTTCCCCCATATCCATCAACAAAAATTTTGTGGAGAAGACTCCGTCAACGCTAGGAAGCCACTTCTTGAGAAAATATAATTGGGGCGAGGTCAAAGCTTAATTCGGTTCATTTTGTAGAGATGCAAAATGCAAAATTCAGCCTAAATACTATTAGAGATGCAAAATTTGTATTGTCGATCTAGTTTCATTCTTCTTCATTGTAATAACTATGAATGTGAAAGTTGAACATTAAGTGGGGAAGATCTATTGATTCACTTACAATCAAGTATAGTGGAAAATTTCACTGTATATGGAAGATAATTTGCATTTAAAGTCATTGAGAAAATATGTGCAACAAACATTGAACATATTTCATAGATATGCAGCCTGCTAGATCAATGTCATCAAGGTATATGATTACGTACAATGTAGTATTTGCTAAAAAAGATACATTCCTAAATGATGAGGAATTCGAGTAGTGCATATTTTTTATATAAACATTCTTGAACCTTTGCTGTCTTAACGTTGTTTTTTCCCTGCCTTTGCTCTTCTGAAATCTTCGTTTTCTCTAATTATTAATATTCTTGCACCCAATGCAGATCCACGGTATTTCTTATCAAGTTGTTCTTGAATTTAGTTCTTCCTCTTGGAACCTGCTTCTTCAATATTTTGGAGACGCGATCCAATGCATACTTGGAAAGCTTCATATTCCAGGAAATTATGCTCAAATAAGGACCGTCTCGGAATCTTTGGAGATTGTAAGGTTAGCTTCCCTTTTCTCTCCTGCTAGCTTGGGGAAATAGTACTCTGCTGCTTCCACTTCTACACACTAGGCCAGCATTTTGTCATTTGGGCCAAAAGTCATGTTTGCTCATTTGAGTAAATTTATTGAATTTTGTGATCTATATGGTGGAACAGGGGAAATTTTGTTTGCTTTGTCATTTGTTGAGAGTGAAGCAAACTTTAAACTCTTTGACCTAAACACTGCAGAAAATACCGTTTATTCACTACTTTGCAAGAGTGCAGATTTTATTTTATTTTTTAATGTTCTGGATGCACTGGACATTCAATCATTACCGATGGTCTCTCTCTCTGTCTCAAGGATCCCTAGATCTTGCTTGTTAATTTGGATATGTTGTTTGTGTGGCAAAGGTGAGAAGAATGTGGTTTGTTCTAATTGTTTTCTTCATTTGCCAACTCTTCGTGTATAAACTCAGGATTTATGGTAAGCTACGCTGGTTACTTTTCAAAGTGTTGACACGTTTTCATTGCTGAGAGAGAGAGAAAGAGTTCATAAAGCTGAATAAAGGGAAAAAAATAATTTTCATTGTGATTTTCTAATTATCTTTTTGATGCACGTGGAAAGAGAAACAACGTAATTTTTGAATATATATGGGATGCTATAGCTGCTATTCGGTTGAATTCACTTCATAGCTTCTCTTGGGATTTCTTTGATTAAAGAATCCCAAAGTTGTTGTTTGTTTATGATTTGGTGCTTGTATTTTGTAGTGTTCCCCTTGTATGGACTTTTGATCAATTGTGCACATTGTTTTTATCCTCTTAGTATTGGATATTTTCTTTCTGCTTTTAGTTAATTTTCTTTTCCTGGTTCCTTAAAAAATTCTCTCTTTTTGCAGCTACGTTGTCTGTTCACAACAGCGCAAATTTTTACCAGCAGAAGATATCCAGCTCTCAAAGTTTTTGCTTTCTGTGATTGCTGGCTCTCAATCAGCAATATTTCCCTCGTCAAGTTCAATCATTAGACATGGTTATACCGCTGAAATTGTGAAAAATGTTACCAAATGCAACAGTTTATGGGATGTTCAGGCTGTAGCCTTTGATCTACTTAGTCAGGCCATCACAAGTCTGGGGTCATATTTCCCAGTTGATGTTTGGAAGTCAACAATTCAGGTAGAAACAATTCTCTTACATTTGTAGTTTTTCATATATGTATTTGTAACAAGTGGAACATATTCAATTTGAATGATTTGCAAGCAATATATAGGCAGTCAGCCAGTAAGGAAATAGTGTTTAGTCTCTACACTCTAGGAACAGTTAAGAAGCTAACTATTGAAATATTTATGAACCAACACAGGAATAGGATTACTAAATCAGTTGTTGGTGATGATTCCTTGATGCCATTGTTAGCCTGGATAGTTTGACAACAATGTATGATGTCTCCAAGTCTAGTAGGATGAGTAAGTGATCAAATGTTCAGAATCTGGCTAGGTTAAGTGTGGGGGTAGGGAATCTATCAAGAAAAGAGAGTTGGGTTATGAGCCTGTTGACAACAAAGTGTCAACAAAATCACAAAAGAAATTACAAAATCACATCTCAAACACGAACTGATATGAACCAAGACATCTCAATCATGCAATATGAACCAAGACATCTCAATCATGCAATATGAACTTTAAGGAAGATTTAAGGAAGATGTGAAAAAAATGTTGTTCAAACTACCACAAGATAAACTCAAGTTGTAATTCATTCCATATAAAGAAGAATCAAGCTTCATTTATTCTTGGATAGTTACAAATTTTGGGTGGATGATAATCTAGAGTTATGGTGATTCGTTAATATAGTTTAAGACTTTTTATTTACTTTAAGTTTGCATATTTACATAGTGACTAATTATGGTCATAAAGTATGAAAGTTACAACTCTGGAAATGACTTATGGAAGTCAATGGTTTTCTTGTGGGGGCTATATAAAGCCATGTATATTGTTTTTATAAAGTAAACTTGAAAAATGTAGTAGTAAAGCATTTGTGCTCTCTTTTAGTCAAGGACTAATTTTCTTTGCAATTCTATATAGTTTAGGTTACATGCTTATAATCATTCCAGCTTGACTTAATCAATCTTGTTTGTGGAGTGATTCGAATCTCAAACAAGTGTTCTTGCCTTGAGATATTCGATTAACAAGATAATTTGAATCTTACTTTCCCTTGGATGATTCCTTATCATTTTGGAGTTCTTGAATATTTAGATCTAAAGGTATTATTTTTCTATAAGATTCTTAGGTCAAATTTTCAAGGGTTTTTAATCATTTGGAATGAAATCAACTCAATTTGGGATTTTAGCTTTTGTGGTTTAGGGGTTTGCACATCCATGAGCATTATGAGGGTTCTTAGATCCGATTGGCTAGGGTTACCATTTCACCAACTAAAATTTATCATCACTCGTAAAGTCTCCACCCCTCTTTCCCTTTATTGGATCTTTCCCTTTTAAGATCACAAATTGAACTTTCATTATAAAAAAAGAGTATGAAAGGTAATGATTTTAATTACGGCATCAATTCAATGCGAGGGCAACGGAATGTTGCTTATGATTAACAATGAGATAGTAATAATTACAATATTTTAAGATAAAAGGGAGGCCCTTTAATTTTTAGGAACCACGAACTTCACTCCCTTTGAGCTGACCCTCACTTCCCATCTCACAAAGGTTTAATCTTTTGTCTAAAAAGATGGCTTCAATTTTTCTGTTAATTTCTTGTTAGTGTGGTTGGTTTGAGTTTGTAAGCTCCTTTTCAAGTTTTTAGGGCCTGTATCGTTCTTTTATTCAGGCAGATGTTTTTTTTTTTCACTTGCTTGTATCTTCGTTCATTTTTTTCTTCTAAAAGGAGTACCATATTTTGTAGCTTTTCGCTACTTTAATCGAAAGTATTGTTTCCTTGAAAAGAAAGGCTGCAATTCGATTAGCCAGGTGCTCAAAGTTGAATTCTGAAGTACCAAGAGATATTGACTAGTGTTTTATGTGTGGTTGATAATGTTTGAGGGAATGCTTGCTGTCATAGTTGCCTAAATTTTTTTGATATGAATGTAGAATATTTCTAGCTAGCATGATAACCTTCAACACTGCATATAACATGTTGAGCTTGTTTCTTTTGCCTATAGGTTATTAGAAAATTGATGGATTTCTTGGCATCTAATAGCCTACTCGTTGAAGACAAGGTGATGTCCAGGTATACAGTGAGCAATGCATTATCGTTCAGTTTTCATCATTTACAAAGAGATTTGTTACTTTTGAATTACTTGTGGATTGTTATGTCAGCTGGATCCTTTGGCTTTAGTTTAATTGCTGTAATTTTCCTGCTGTTTTTCTTTTGGTTGTTAATAGTCTTGATGTTTATTTAAAAAGCCTCTGGTTATTTCTTATGTAAGATGGACTGTTCCTCGAGAGTTTTGAGTCTTAATGATATTTTCTCCAAGCCATCTTTTGATTCCAACTTGAGGGTTACATGATATTGGTTTACATGATATTGCAACATGATAATGATATTGCAACAGTGAATGGGTTACATGTTATTGGTTTGCTGTCCTCAATTTACACAACTTTTCTTCACTTTTGTGGAGCTTTAGCTGCGAAGGGGCTATCGATTTTATTATTGTTATGAAAAACTGTTGCAATATTTGGTTCAAACGGACCTTTCATTTGAAGCACTCGATCCTGTGGAGCACCAAAGATTTTGGCTCTCGTGAGATGCTGACAAAGAAAAAAACTCTAGCCTTCCCTTTGCCTAGACTCAGTTTGCCGCAGTCGCCTTTAACCACTGCACCCTGCTGCCTTCCGCTGTTCTCTGATCACCTAGATTTTGGTGGTCCTGTTCCACTTGTTTCTTAATTATTGTTGCATCGAAGTATCTTCTTCAGTATTTGGGGTGAAAGTGCTATAATTTCTGTGAAGAAATGGGAAGTAATCGGACACATTTTTTCTTTTAATCCTTCTCATTTGTTGGTTCGAATGTGCTGTGATTGATTTACTGCAAAATCTAGTTCATTAATTCTTTTAGAAGAAACTTAAGGATGATTTCGTGGTCATTTGTTTATCTAAATTCAGATAACCTTTTGGTTGACATTTTGAATGTTCAAGGATGATTTTGAGGTTGTTTGTTTTCTAAATTCAGATCATCTTTTGGTTGACATTTTGAAGGTTCTGTTTGGCCTTCCTTACGAGGAAGAAAACTTGTGCAACTTCCTACTGACATTGATAAAAAGGATGGATGGTCTTATGGGAAATGGTAAGTGATTTCCTTTTAACTTTGAGAACAAGACGCAATTAGAATATAAAATTTCTCATCAGTTGAAGGTAGTAGGAAATTCTTGAGATGGGTCAGATGCTCACGAGAAAATTTCAAGAAGCTATGTAGAAGAGATCAAGCAAAACTAAAGTTATTTTTAGAATCACAACTCATCAGACATGACGACCAAAGTTCACTCCCCTAAGGCTTCTTTTTGCATAGGAAAAGAAATGGAAGTGGTGGAATTGAATTTTAACTCTATTTGGTGGTATATTGGTTGCTTGACCATACTCTTGGAAGGGAGTTCAGAATTCCTTAGAAGATTATTTTCGGTGGAATGTTTCTATTAATCCTTTAATGAATGATAAGGCCTTGGTGATGATTGATGATGATTTTCAGAATTAAAATTTGATGGTAAGTGGAGGTTTTTCGGCAAACATTCACTTGAAAATTGAGCATTGGTCTAATAAGAATCACTCTCATCTGGAGTTTATTAAAGTTATGGAGGTTGGATATCAGTGAAAAACTTACCTTCAGAATATGGAAACAATCCTTCTTTGGAGCTATATGGCAAAATTTTGGTGGTTTAGTCAACATTGCCTCCCAAACCCTTAATTTCCTAGATACTTCAGCTGCCCAAGTATTTAGTTAAAGTAGAACATATGTGGCTTCGTTCCAGCAAACATTGTTGTTGTAATGGATGGTAATACTTGAAATTTCTTTCTTTGACTTGGTGATATAGCTTCCGTTGAAACTCCGAGTTTGAGTAATTTACTTCATGGTGATTTATCGTTTACAGATTTTTTTTCAATTTTGGTAGCTTTAAGGAGGATTAAAAAAGTTATGGAAGATGAAGAATTTATTTTGTCGTATGAAGACAAGTTGAATGTAGTAGCTGTTGGATCAAAGTCACCTTTAGTGCATGATTTGCTTCCTAATTTGAAAGATCCGGATGCCTTAAAAACTATCAATTCCACTGATCATGATGGAATTACTGCTGTCAGTTCTTATGTGGCTGATCCTCTCTCTTCTATTGATGATATTTTACCACAAGAATAGTCATAGGAAGAAGCTAAGCTTTCATTGGGAATTCTCCAGAATTTTTCATCTCCTAAAACCACACCGAGTACTAATGAGGTGAATCCAAGATTTCTAAAAGCCTTCCCTCTTCATTATTCACGCAAGAAAGAAGCCCTTGTTATCCTCGAATACTCAGAGGTTAATTATGATACTTTGAAGGAATCTTGTACTTGTCAATTGATTTCCTCTTCACACTCGATAGTGCCTCATAATATTGTTTCAAACCAACATCAGTCTTTGATTCCTGCCAATTCTTTTAAGCAATCAATTCTCTCTCTTCCTAGTTCAGACGTTCAGTTTATTAAGGGCCTCTCCAATTCCCCTTCTCCTAGAGTAGCTTTATCAACTTGAATCTGATGAGGAATCTAATGTAAGTCTAAGCAGTTAGGAAGACACGCTTCTTATAGAGGAATCAAAGCAACAAGAGTTATTATCAGATGATTTAATTCCAAATGCTTAAATAATCTATTTCCAAATGAAGCCAACGGGTTAATTGTAACATAGCCTAATGCAGGAGCAACACCAGTGTCCTCTCCTTTAATTCCAGCCAACTTCTCTTCTCTTGTTGAGGTTTGTGGTCTTCGATGCTCTGATAATTCCGACTTGACCTCCGGAAGTTATAGTTTAATGGTGATTGCCTCGTTTGATCAGAATCGATGGCAATTTCATGGAATTTTTGTGGCTGTCAGGAAATCTGAAGTCCCAATCGATTTGGGGTCTTGCCTTTTGGTTCTTTGATTTGCTTTATGGTTTTCCAAAGAGGTGTTTCCTGGCTCATTTAGGTTTTCATGTTCCTCCTGGTGCCATTTTAAGAGTACTTTCGCCTGGTGTGGAAAATTCTCTCTTGTCAGCTTTTTGTTTGATTTTAGCTCCTTTGGCTCGTTCATTTTGGTTTAAGTCGGCTCATGGCTTCTTTAGGGTGCTTTTGTAGAATTAGACTTTTTGTCTTGTTTGGCTTGTGCTCACTTTCAGTTGTAGTTGCTTCTTATTGTTATTTCTTCCTGTTTCTCATTGGGGATTTTGTATTTTCAAGCATTAGTCTCATTTCATTATGTTAGTGAAAAGTTTTGTTTCCTTTACCTAAAAAAAGAAAAAAAAGAAAAAAGGTTCAGGCATATAGGCAGCTTCTGTACAAGTCATTAATGTCTGCTGCTTTTAATTAATAGGAAAAAGAAAAGATAAATCCAACCATGGAGTTATAATCTTTGTACATTGTAGTGTGGGCTTTGGGAGTAGCTTTAGTCTTTAACAAATTACCATTCAAAACTAACTACCCTAACTAATTCTTACTCCCTACTAGTATCAAAGCTGTTTTATATGGCTTGGGTTTTGGATTAAACATCGAAGGAGAATATCTTCCAACTGCTGTTGTTGTAGAATAAAGCTAATTTTTTTTGGGGGTTGTTGTAAAAACTTTCTTTGGACATTTTTTTTTGGAAGGAACTAAAGAATCTTTGAAGGAAAATCTTTACATTGTTATGAAAGATTGGACTTTGCGAAGGATGATGCTTCCCTTCTGTGTTTTCCATGTTATTTTTCTAATTGTTTCGATGTACAATTCTAGTTTGGTTGGTGTTTGCTTGTTCTTTTTCCTGGTAATGATTTGGGCAGTTTTCTTTTGTAATTCTTGCTGTACTTTTGGAAAGGGGGAATGTTAATCCGCGGTGCGTGTTTCTTTTTGGACTCTCTACAGAGTCATGTTTTGTTTTCTTATCGTTTTATGATTTCTCATTTATCAATTAAAATAGAAAAACTAATGACGAGCATATATAATTTACAATTAAGTCTCCATGGCCTACATCATTTACCCAGGTAACAGCCATTTCATTGGCTTTATTAGAGTTACAGTGTTTTGCTTACTGTTTATCTTTATCCTCGTCCCTAATGAGAAATTGTAATTCCTTATCTTAGCACATTTTCGAATTAGTCATCCTTTTCATGCCTTGGTGTTTTCTGTTCTGCAGGTATTATCTATCTCTTTTGAGATGTCTTCATTTGGTTATAGCAGAACCCAAATGCTCCCTTTCTGACCATGTAAGAAATAAAGCTACACTTCAAGACCTAAATTGATCTGATTGAGAATGCTTACTTACTGGAGAATTTTTTTTTACCTAATTTATTTGTTTCAGGTGTCAGCTTTTGTAGCAGCATTGCGTATGTTCTTTGCCTATGGCTTTTCTAGTAGACCCCTACTTACTTGTTCAGTTGGTAATCAAGGGAAAGAACCTAGTTTGACTAGTACCAAGGAAGATCCAAAAAGGACAAATCATAGTGCATATAGGCCCCCACACTTGCGTAGAAGAGAAAATTTAAATAAGAAGCTGGGCAATGTTCAAAATTCTCCAAGTTCAACGGCTGGAGAGTCTTTTAACTGTGATTTGATATCTTCAGATTCCGATCATGACAGTGATGGGCAAGTAAGAGATACTGACATCATCCAGAATGGCAAGGTTCGGGTTGCTGCAATTATTTGTATACAGGTAATTCAAAAAGAGAGGACCCATTTGATCGAGTTCTTTGTTGTTTTCACTTATCTATGGAAAATCAATTGCTACTGCGCTTCATGGTCACAATTTTTCTTCCTCCTGCTAATAAGATCACGATTGGCAATTTCCCTATCTGATGGGATGTTTCCTATCCAAAGAAACAAGGGAAAAAAAAAAAAAAAAAAAAAAAAAAAAAAAAAAAA